ACTGTCGTCAACCAAAGTCATTCACATAGAACAAAGATGTGAATGACTTAAACTTTGTAATTCAAAATCAAATCGTTGGTACCCTGCATACATTCAAATCTATTGACTGTGTAGCAAACGAAGAAGAAGCTACCAACTATCCAACTAAATTTTGGAACTCCTTGGATGTGCCTGGCTTACCATCGCACAATTTACAATTAAAGATTGGTTCGGTAGTCATTATGCTTCGAAATCTAAACCAACCAAAACAATGCAATGGAACGCGATTAGTGATAACAAAATTGATGGCCAATGTGATTCACGCAATGATACTCAACGGAAAATTCAAAAGTGATGAAGTTCTCATTCCGAGGATTCGAATAATCTCAATCGATATGCCCTTTGAGTTTAAACAAATTCAATTTCCTATTCGGCTTGCATTTGTTATGACTATAAATAAATCACAAGGCCAATCCTTTAGTGTTTGTGGTCTGAATCTAGAAAATACATGTTTTTCACATGGTCAATTGTACGTGGCATGTTCACGTGTAGGCAAACCATCTGCTTTATTTGTTCTTGCGCCTGATAAAAAAACAAAAAATATCGTATATCACAAGGTTCTTTATTGAAGAGAATCAATTGGAGTGCAACCCATAAGTTCTTGCTGACAGACCATTAAAATAATGAATTATATATCAATATCCTAATAAACTATTGAATACAATAAATTTTTTGTATTTATTTTATTATGTTAATAAATTTCTAAATTTAGTTTGCCTATAATTTAATATAACATTTATTGACTGTTACGCGGTACGAAGTTCGTGGGGTCACCTAGTAAATAATAAAAAACTTTTATTTTAATAAGTAAAATAAATATATAAAAAGAATTGTGCATGAGCAAAATAAACAAGAATTGTGCTAATGTGTTAATTTGCCAATTGTGTTAATGATTATTTAAATAAAAAATTTTAAAAAAGTTTTCAAAAATGCATTCAATTGCATTTCGAGTTTTAGCGGAGGATTTGGCTCAAGAACAGGAGCAAGAAATTTTGCAACAGAGGATCAATCGCAGAAACTTACATGTTAAATTTAACTCTTTTTTAAATTTTTAACTCTTTTTTAACTAATTAAAAAACAACTTTACGTTATGATACCAATTCTTCAATGTCTTTATTTTCAAACATTCACTGCTTTTATACAAAATTTGTGTAAATTATAATTTAATTTTTTTTATATAATTAGGATAGAAATGTCCTTCATGCTTCAATTAATGAATTAATAATAGTTTATGATTGTGCAGATCAGAGAATATATTTTCTAGAATGGAAACTCCGCCCACCTCGATCAAAACTAAGAGAAATTGCTTAAGAAAATTCATTTTTTATAACATTTTTGTCACACACTTTTACGCTCTTTCATGCTCTTTCAGGGCTGCTGCATAACTTTTTTTCAACCACTTACTGTACAAGTTTTTATTTAAGCAGATATATAAATAATTGTTAAGTTTTATATTAAATTTATTATAAAAATCAATTGTATCAATTATTGTAATTGCATTATTATTATTATATTAATTATATGTATACATAAGTACTTTAAATTAGGTTCTTATGTTGTTTTTTGTTGTTGGTTTTATTTGTGTTATCAAATATTTTTAGCAATGTTGCTGGCTCTCACAACTAAATATTCGCACGCTAGCAGCGTGCCAGACGTAACATGATCATCTTCACACGCCACTGTGCAAGGTTGATAAGCATTATGTTATTATAAGCATAGGTAATGCACATATTTCCCACGAATGCCCTTGGCCTTGAATGTTCAAAGTCCATCGGATAACAAATCGTGGGAACTAGGTGCATTTCCTCCTTTACCATAAGCTTAGTGTTAAGAATTTTGTATAAAAGCACAACATTTTTAATAAACATCTAATTCAATTTCAAAACCTGAATTCAACCAAGTGTTTTCTTTTGGTTTAAGTGCCTAAAAGAACCTTGAGCAAAGTCGGTTTATGTGCCGAATTTGAAAATCAATAAATAATAAAATAAATAAAAAAATACCTATATATATATTCACATATATATATAGCTATTTATAAATTACGTAACTGGTTCATGTGCCGGATTGCGTAAATGAATTACTAAGCTGGTTAAAGTGCCGGATTAGTGAATCCGTATCAGACTAGGTACGGAGGATAACATAAAGAGTAAAGCTAAGCTGGTTCAAGTGCCGGATTAGCTAAAATCTGTATCAGACTAGATATAGATCATAACATTTGGTGACCCCGACGTGATCTATCACGCATCAGTGGACATACACGTGATATCACGCATCAGTATTGTCATTTGTGGACATACACGTGATCTATCACGCATCAGTATTGTCATTCACGAAGCAGTATTGTCATTTGTGGACATACACGCATCATTGTTGTCATTTGGTGACATACACGTATCAACGTATTCAACAATCAACTTCTGGTGACCATGGAGGACCTTATCAACCAACAGGCTGAAACAGGTACTGAAATCCAGGACATCATAAAAAACTTCAAGAAGGATGGTAAGGCAAGGAAAACCAAGGCCTACTATGAAGAACGACTGAGACGTTTAAACTCAGCATGGGAATCCTTCGATGAAGTTGACAGTAAAATTCAGAATCTTGATTCTATTCCAGTCGACCACGATTACATAAAAAAGGAATATTATCAAGAAATCCTGAATATCTACAAACAGTACAGTCGACAATTTGAAACGACCATTAAACAATTCGGTCAAGAAGAAATAGTCGAGCTTGTGACTGTTGCAACACCATCAAAAGTTAATGTTGGGCACATAGATGTTCCAGCATTCGGCCCTGATCCACAGATTCAAGGGCTCATTAACAAACAACGCGCAATATCATGTTCATTATTGCGGCTCATCAATGGCGTCAAGCACATGTACGAGCAACAGCCTCTGTCATATTACCAGGTAAATATTGACAGAATCAACAAATTATGGCAAGAAATCGAAGCCATTAATTTTAAAATCTGGGAAATACATTCCAATCCAATAGAAGTTGGATATGATATCCAGAAATACATTGAACTAGAAGAAGAAGTTCAAAATATGCTGGTGTCAATAACATCAAAGATGACATCAAATCAACAGCAACCGCCTCCTATTGAAAAGGTGCAAGTTAGGTTGCCAAACATAACAATTCCAAAGTTTGACGGAACTTATACCAAGTGGATGGAGTTCGATAACTTGGTCACAGAAATGATCCACAACACTCAGTTGCCAGATGCACAGAAGATGTGGTATTTAAAAAATCACTTAACTGGAGATGCAGCAGGGTTAGTAGCACATCTCGCTCTAACAAATCAAAATTATGCAACAGCATGGCAAATATTGAAGGAACGTTATGACAATAAACGAATCATTGTTTCTTCCATCATCCAGAAAATCGTAAATCAAGCAACTGTGAGAGCTCCAGCAGCAAATGACATTCGGGTCATACATGACTGTACACTGGAGAGTTTATTAGCATTGAACAATTTGGGCATTGACACCAGTTCCTGGAGTCCAATATTGTTATATGTATTAACCCAAAAATTGGATAAACAAACTAGACTACTATATGAACAGTCGCTAGCGCATCCGCATGAATTACAATCAGTAGATGAGTTTCTGGTATTCTTGGAAAAGCGGTTTCAATCATTGGAAACTGTCAATCCAAATCCACCAGCAGCGAAAGTAGTGACAGCAACAGCAACTACAAATAATATGCTGGCTTGCAGCATGTGTCACCTTAATGGCCATCTAATCTACCAGTGTAACAAGTTCTTGGCATTATCAGTTCCTGATCGTTTCTCCGCAGTACAACGGTTGAAATTGTGTTTCAATTGTCTACGTAGCGGACATAGAAACAGTGATTGCAGAAGCAGACATTGCGCCAAATGCAATAAAGCGCACAACACGTTACTCCATCTTCAGTGCAATGCAAAGGCGCCAACAACTGGCGCACCTGAATTCACCAATATCAACGCGGCTGTATCCAAGAAGACCACTTCCTCCAATCAAGAAGAAGCTGCTGCTGTTTTAACTACAGCACTGTCAACAAAACCTTGGGACCGCCAAGGTCAATATTATTTCAAGCTCTGGCGAAGCAATTGAATGCAGGGCTATTCTAGATTCTGGTTCTCAAATTAACCTAATATCAGAAAACCTGGCCAAAAAATTACAATTAAAGTTAAATCCAAACCCAATATGGATCAAAAGAATTGGCACAGGTAAAAGAAGGGCAAACCATCAGGTCACTGCCAACATCTCATCACGTACAACTAATTTCAATATAAAAATGAAAGCAGTTGTGATGGAAAAAATTACTTCACCTCTACCAAACAAATCGTTCGACATATCTCAATGGCCAATTCCTAAACACATCAAACTCGCCGATGCCGAGTTTAACGTAAACGGTGATGTCGATTTATTGATAGGTGCTGAGCATTTCTATTCGCTATTATCAGTGGGTAAGATTCGTATGAAAAACAACTTACCAGTATTACAGAAAACCGTGTTCGGTTGGGTAACCGCCACCTAAGCGGCGCATTAGGTGGATATAATCAGAGTACAATCGCATGTACAGCAGCTACCAAAAATAAACAAGAATTACATGAAGTCGAGAAAAAAGGTGAAGCAACATCTATTGGACACAATCGATAAAATAAGGAATGGCCAGCAAGACGAAGTGTGAATACCCATCCAAGAGTTGACAGTAAAATTCAAGTGGCAGATGGTAGAACTAAGAAAGATAGTTTGAAGCGGCCAATAAATCGATTGGCACTGGTAGCAGCAGATTTACATTCGTCTACCACTACACAACAACAGCAAGCTAAAGAAACGCCATTAAAACGGCTAAAACTCTATGGCCTAGCATTACTCATTATGTTATGGCTACCATTAATATCAGCTTCTGGGATCAGCATTACAACATTCAATAAAAAACCTGGGATTCATTTTGAACACATGGGTTCAATCATGAGATCACCTGCAGAATGGACAATCATAGCCTACTATGATATAAGTTTTCTACAGTTAGAGGTCGAATTTATCAAGAATGCAACTAATTCACTGGCAACCATATGCGACCAAATGAATGGTTATAACGACTGCTGGATCTTAGTTGACCAATTTAAAATGACAAACTTAGAAATGTTGTCAGCTAGTATGATACTACAACCTAAACGAAAGAAGAGAGGTGCCATAGACATCATTGGTAACGTCGCAAATGCGGTGTTTGGTGTTCTGGATTCTGAGTATGCTAAACAAATGGCGCAGACCATCCAACAATTAAAAGACAACGATGGACACCTCATTCATCTATTGAAGAATCAAACGTCAATATTAGATTCCACAATAAATATCATGAAGAAAGATCGCCAATTCGCGCAATCAACCTTCGAACTAACAGTCAAACGGATGACTGACTTACAGAATAAAATACAAAAAGACGAAGATGAGATTTCTCTTCTTAAACTATATCAATTATTTACCGCAATCGCAACTCAATTGCTGAGTGTAACCACCAACGTGCAATTTTACGAGACCGCAATTTTAGGCGTGTTAACTGATACCAATCATGGTAAAATCAGTCCACTTCTGCTGACACCAGTGCAGCTAAATAATGAAATAACTACGATTCGCGAGCATCTCAATCCAGCCACACATCTGCCAGGGAATACGAGCAACATAGTTGGACTCTATTCGTTAATGACTGTCACTAGCGGTCTAGTCGACACCAAAATTCTGTTTCGAATAACACTGCCGATAGTCAGGGATCAAACATTTGATTTGTTCTCTGTGATTCCAATACCAGGGGTTAGAAACAGCATCTATCAACAAATAACACCGATGTACAAGCAGATCAAGCTGAAGACGCGCCACGAAAACGCGCAAAACTCGATAACAACAATCAATATCCGAATTCAAAGTTGACGTAGAAGCACAGATTTGACCGAAGTCAACAGGAGGGAGAATGTTAAGTTTTATATTAAATTTATTATAAAAATCAATTGTATCAATTATTGTAATTGCATTATTATTATTATATTAATTATATGTATACATAAGTACTTTAAATTAGGTTCTTATGTTGTTTTTTGTTGTTGGTTTTATTTGTGTTATCAAATATTTTTAGCAATGTTGCTGGCTCTCACAACTAAATATTCGCACGCTAGCAGCGTGCCAGACGTAACATGATCATCTTCACACGCCACTGTGCAAGGTTGATAAGCATTATGTTATTATAAGCATAGGTAATGCACATATTTCCCACGAATGCCCTTGGCCTTGAATGTTCAAAGTCCATCGGATAACAAATCGTGGGAACTAGGTGCATTTCCTCCTTTACCATAAGCTTAGTGTTAAGAATTTTGTATAAAAGCACAACATTTTTAATAAACATCTAATTCAATTTCAAAACCTGAATTCAACCAAGTGTTTTCTTTTGGTTTAAGTGCCTAAAAGAACCTTGAGCAAAGTCGGTTTATGTGCCGAATTTGAAAATCAATAAATAATAAAATAAATAAAAAAATACCTATATATATATTCACATATATATATAGCTATTTATAAATTACGTAACTGGTTCATGTGCCGGATTGCGTAAATGAATTACTAAGCTGGTTAAAGTGCCGGATTAGTGAATCCGTATCAGACTAGGTACGGAGGATAACATAAAGAGTAAAGCTAAGCTGGTTCAAGTGCCGGATTAGCTAAAATCTGTATCAGACTAGATATCAGTGGCGACGCGTGCCCTATCTGGAAGGGTGTGCGGCCCTTCTATAATGTTGTTTTTACATGTACCACTTACATTAAAATATATGAGATGTTTTATTAATAATAACTATATTGTATTAGGCAACAATATATTCGCAATATTATATTAACAATTCATTAACAAAATAACATATTAAACAAATTGAATTAATAATTTATATATAAATTTAATATTAAATCAATATGGAAGAAACAAAACTTTTCACATATGCAACGTATGAATGTGCGGCCAACTTCTTTGCACACAAAGGGGAGAGACGAAATATAATAGAAATGTTCTGTGATTTGAGCTGCAAATATATGAGCACACTAACAAGTATAACAGCTAACAGAAGCAAATTGATTGAGTTTTCATAAACAATTATATTTAATTGTTTTTGCTAAAACTTTAATGTTTGAAAATAAACATATATATGTGGTATTATTACTGTAGTAATATTATAGTTTTATTATTGTTGTAATTTTAACTTATTATAATTAAAGTATAAGATTATAATGAAAAGTTATTAATATAGTTTCGCGTCTTTTATGGCTTCTTTATCCGTCGTTTTCCGATAACCAAGCACGTCTTCTTTCTTGCTTGTTCCGCACACAACTCGCAACTAATTCGTCTCGCGTTAGGAATTTTTCAATGTAGGCAAGCTTTTCGATATATCTTTTATCACTTTCGCCGTATTCGAAGCCCGAAAATTCCCGAAGCCGTTGCCGGTTGCCTCTGTCGCCTGCATCTTCAAACACAAACTTATGCAGTGCTCTTATTATTTCAGCTCTGCTTGTTTTTAAGTTCTTGGAAATTTTGGTAAAATTGTTTAAGCAAGCCATTTCAGGAATTTCACAATTCACTATTTTGCTCTTGAATTCAAAAAGTTGAGTTGAGCCCCCAAAATGTGGTATTATTACTATAGTAATATTATAGTTTTATTATTGTTGTAATTTTAACTTATTATAATTAAAGTATAAGATTATAATGAAAAGTTATTAATATAGTTTCGCGTCTTTTATGGCTTCTTTATCCGTCGTTTTCCGATTAGCAAGCACGTCTTCTTTCTTGCTTGTTCCGCACACAACTCGCAACTACTTATTTGATGTAGAACAGCTGTTAGCTCACAAGTAGGGGCAGAGTTGCATTTTCGTTATTCTTATCCCACATATATGGAAATGTAATAAATAATATTAATTCTCGGTGTAAAGATATTTAATAAATTTATATACCTATGTTATTTGACATTTTGCAAATTATGTTAGGGTGTTCACCGCACACCTCCGCACCTTAGAGCAGTCGTCACTGCTAGATATAGATCATAACAATAATCATAAATGAATATAAGCATACATTACATATAATTTAAATATTATTAAATTAAATGGATTTATTTACAATAATATATAATTATGTAAAAAAATTTTTTAATTGTAATTGAGTATGTTACACAATTATTTATACACTTTTCTTAGCTATTTATATATTTATGATGGCCGTCCGCCGTCAGATACACAGGGGGATAAACACGTACTTTGTGTATGTGCCGTAACTGTTGTATACTGTCGGTAATGTGATTACATCCTCTACGTGGGGGCGGCTAGAAACAGATCCATAGTATGGTCATGTCTCAACTATGGATACTGGCTAATTGTAATCGGGCGGACGCAAGCAAAAGCGTCTTAAATTAAAGCTCAAATCCAAGGTGGAACAGCATATGCCGAGGGATGAATGGCCATGGATAGTTGGTCTTTAATGTGCGAACTCTGGATACCTGTCGATCTTCAGTTTTAAATCAGACTTCCCACGATAAACGGGCTATGTCGTGGGTGACCTCTCTTCCCGAATTTTAAACTCATTTTTCATGGATAAAAATTTAAATAATAACATTGATGAGCTTGATGTCACTCTAACGGCATCTCCAAATGATTCCTTTACGGAACACTCACCCGTGTACGTGCCGGCCACTGAGCTGGAAGCCACCACCCATCTTGACAGCGCTACTGTGTGCATCAAGATGGATCCGGATGGGCCACCGTCTTTTTCTCCGCTCGCGGAAACGGTGATCGTACCAGGTCAATCTTCGTCGCGACCTCAAGATAGGCGGTAGGAAATAATTGAAGTATTGTCTTCAAATTCCGAAGCTGCTGATTCTTGCGAGTCCGACAACGACAGTGTGGTCTCTCAGAAGTCCGGTCTACCTGTCGTTGGCTCCAAAGTTGGTAACCTCACTTTGGAGTCTCCTAAATTCACTCACCAAAAGAAGTGAGAAAAGAAGGTTCAAGGCGGCTATGGCAGCAGGTCTTAGCAGAGCAGAAGCTCTAAAAATCGCCACGCAGTCTTCGACTGCGATTAAGCGGGGCAGATCGGAGAAACAATCTCCCGGTTTGACCACCGTTAAAAAACCTAAGGTAGGCCATGTGGGACTTGCCAAGCCATCGTACAGCCTAGCTGTTAAAGGCGTACGTTTAGGCTTCACGTCGGTTCGGTCACCTGAGACTGATGCTTAAGGGTACCACCCCCGCTCTTTCTCAACCCATGGATAAAGCTCCAAAGGTGGTTCAGGATGACAAAACCATCCAGTCATCCTCGACTCCGGCAACATCCCATACGGACAGTTGCCCAACGGTGACTATTCCTGTGGAAGAGGAACTAGACACACGTCCATCTACTAGCAAGGCGGTTAGCACTGCTAGTGGGCGTGCTGTTCAGATTCCCACCTCAGGAATTAAGTCCACAATACCCTCCACGGGCCCGATTACGGTAGCAGGTAAACCTAGGACCGCTATCTTTAAACCACCCTTACTCAGTAAAAGTTTACTAGAGCAATCAAAGGGTGCCAGAAACAAGGGTTTTCGACGAGACAAACGCGAAAGTCTCGTCCGTAAGTCTCTTAACGAGACCTAATGAGCACTTTAAAAGTGCTCCAGGCAAATCTGCACCATGCAAAAGGAGCTTCAGCCACCCTGTGCAGAATTGCCCAAACCAACAACATTGCTCTAGGACTTATTCAAGAGCCGTGGGTGTTCGGTGGCCACATTCGGGGTCTTAACTCTAAATCAGGTAAGCTGGTTTATGACCGATCGATAGCAGTGCCGTGTGCAGCTATCTTAATCGGTGGAGACGTAAAACATCTTCCGTTAAATAACTTTATTTCTAGAGACCTAGCAGCGGTCCTTGTCGAAGTTCCAACATTAGGAGGGGTGACAGACATTGTCGTGGCCTCTGCCTACTTCCCAGGTGATGAAAATGCAGTTCCACCAACGGAAGTCCAGCAGCTGATTAGCTTCTGCAGGTCCACTGGGCGGCAGCTAATCTTGGGCTGCGATGCAAATGCTCACCATACGGTGTGGGGAGCAGCGATATTAACAAAAGGGGTGAATACCTATTAGAATATATCATATCAGCAGGTTTGAATATAGCTAACAAAGGTAATAAACCCACATTTATTAACGCAATTAGAGAAAAGGTACTAGATCTCACTCTATGCACCAGAGGTATTGAGGAATCTATATGGAATTGGCATGTGTCGGACGAAGTGTCCCTCTCTGACCATCAACACATTAGGTTTGAAATTCCCGGTATATCCGCACAGCAAGAAAAAGTTTACCGACCCAGAAAAACCGATTGGCATAGGTACAGGGACTTAGTGTGTTCCGCAAACTTTTCCATAGCTAGGCCTTTACAAACTATAGAAGAGTTAGAGTTAGCCGCTAACCACTTAGGTGAGGTATTACTAACCTCCTTTCATAACAGCACGGTTGCAGGCAATGCTACAATTTTGGGTAAGGTTCCTTGGTGGAACTCGCAACTAGCTAATAAGCGCAAATTAGTAAGGAGCTTATTCAATAGAGCAAAACGCTCAGGTAGGTGGGAAGAATATAAAATTGCACTCACTGACTACAATAAATCAATCAGACAGTCCAAACGGACTAGCTGGCGAAGCCACTGTGAAAGTATTGAGAAGCTGCCCGAGGCTGCCAGACTACACAAGGCATTAACTAAGGTCAAAAATAACGAAGTAGGCCTTCTAAAAAAAACCGATGGATCCTTCACCACTGGCCGTGAAGATACCCTTGAGTTTCTGTTGCAAACACACTTCCCTGGCTCTTTAATCGGAGCATCAACATCAAAATCAAACAGAGAAGTAACTGCTCCTACACGTCAGGAACACGCACTTTCTGGTGTTATCTTTGACAAGGACAAGGTGAAATGGGCGATCAGCTCATTCCTACCATTCAAGGCGCCTGGTGGTGACGGTATCTTTCCTGCTTTATTGCAGAATAAATAACTATACCCAAACCAAATAAAGATATAACTGTAACAAAATCATACAGACCAATTAGCCTACTATCAGTTATGTCAAAACTGATTCTCTTCAAAGAAAAACTTATACCTGATCATCGATTCGGCTTTCGGAAAAAGCATTCGACTATATAACAAGTTCACAGAGTTGTTAATAAAATAACAAGTGATATTGACTCAAAACAATTTTCCTCGGCGGTATATCTTGTAACGACCTTTTTCTGGCCCTATCTACAGCTGGGGTATACTCAGCGAGTATACCAGGGTTCGTTATAAGAAATTTATAAATGTGAAATAATAGAGACACTTCTGTTTAAAGCAACGTTTATTATTTAACCAAAAAAAATATGAATTAAGTTGTGGAAAGTAATAGACAGCGATGTTGAACATGTTGTCAATGATGTGGAATGTTGTTAATGTTGTAACGATGTTGTAACGATGTTGTAAACTGTGTAGAATGTTGCATGATGTTGATGTCAGTGGTGCGCAAGTTGCTATCATTAGAATCGTTGAAATATGTAACAGGAGAAATTCCAAATAGCTAAACCTAAAGAAACTCTAATAAAATATAAATCAATACCTTTGTCAGTAAAAACCAGACAAGGGTCCCTTCCTGCTATTACGCCTGGCCACGTCCGTCAGCAATTGCCAAACGTTCGTTGTCCCACACGCCTTCTGACAGTGTTTGTGACTCGTCGTCCATTCCTCCATCAGCTATGGCCAAATGGAAAACTGGATGACTAGTTAAACTACCCAACGCCAGCATAAGCCAAACAGCAGGTAACTCAACTGGTTAAACTACCCTACGCCAGCATAAGCCAAGCAGAAGGTAATTCAACCACCATCACTTCGCCCAAACCAGTCCATCCATTCACATGGTGATCGTCAGCAATGGCCAAACGAATCAACATGTGCCTGGACCAATTTCGCAGCCCTTTTATTTGAAATTCCCTCCATTACAGGCAAAAACAAAAATTATCTTCAAGTAAACAAGGTCCCGTAAATTGGTCAAAACAAATTTCTTATTGTTGTACGCATTGCACTCAAATTCAATAAAAATAACTGCATCATATGAAAAATGCGTGCACGATATTTTCTTAAATTTGTTTATGCAGACAAACAAGTGAAATAGTTACAACAAATTTAACTAACTTTTATTAGCGGCAAAAAATTAATCAAAACATATTTTACTTTACAGGGTCATTCGTTTATACAAAATGTTTGTCTCTAATATGAAATTTACAGGGTCATTTGTTTATAATAAAAATGGATGTTACTGTAGGAAAATTTTATTGAATTTAGAAACATGTTTTTTTTACTAAGTGGATTTAAAACTCATATTTGACTATTCATTTGATTTGTGGGGTTAAATTTTAGAATAAAATTTGGGCCTTACAATCTTGATGTCGCAAAGGCTTTCGACAGCGTTTGGCATGAAAGTCTCCTAACTAAACTATCCCAACTTCATCCGGCACACTTTTACCTCATACTTAAGAGCTATCTACAAAATAGATACTTTTATGTGAAGTACAAAGACTCAATCTCCGAACTTACACAAATGAAAGCTGGTGCGCCTCAAGGAAGCGTACTGGGTCCATTACTCTACCTGCTATACACTGCTGATATCCCGATACCTTCTGATCCCCAAAGTTTGATAGCAACTTTTGCAGACGATACAGCCCTAATTGCAGCTAATAAAAATTTTAACATATTCACAGACAATTTGCAGAATTACCTAAACGCAACGCTCGAAGGGTTCAACAAATGGGGAGTTCAAAGAAATACAAGCAAAACAGTTCATGTTATCTACACGAATAAAAAATATGACCTAAAACGTATAAGAATTAACAATGACAATGTCTTCACACACACAAAGGAGCTTCGGATTCTCTTTTTCACTATTGGCGTGTTGAAGCCATTGTTTTTGTTTGTGGTTGCATCTTCAGTTCTGTTTGCAGTTATGAAGTTAGTATCACAGTTTTCCGAATTCTGAATAAGTTTTGATGGTGTATTATGTTATGTTGTTGATGGTTTGGTTGTTGTAGATTTATATGGTACTCCTGCTGCATTTGTTGTTTCTCTATTTGGTGGTTCTGTTGTGGTTGTTTGTGTCTTGCAGTTCTAGCTGTTGATTTGATTGTTGTAGTGTTGTTTGATTTTTATTATTGGATGCTTTTGAGCATAGGACAGTTTGTTGATGTGTTTTGAGCTGTTGTTGTTGTTGTTGTTCTTGTTGTGATTGTTGCTCGTGATTTGATTCGCCTCCACCTTATGGTAGAGTTTTATGAACCGGCATTACGTTAAATTAAGCGATTACCGAAATAGGATATGAAATTGGAGTTTTCTATTTGGTCTCGTATTATAAAACTTTTAATATAATGGTTTGTGTACACACTAATAAAGGAAGAGGTTATATATGCTGTCAGTTAGCTGGATATTTTAATTTTGTTTAGTTACTATAATAAGCTTTTTTCAGCACTATTTGTTATTCAATCACTAGTGTAGCTATCTGTCTCTATCAGATTTGGATATATTTATTTTAGTTCCAAAAGTATTATTATTAAGTTATGTTCCACAATCAGGTGAATTTTTATAAAGGTGCCAAATTTTGTTTTTTAATCACAATATGTAAATGCACTGATTAGTTTACTTTTCCACTTTTTTAATTGGATTTGCATTCGCAATGTGAATCTACACTCAATAATTTCGTTGTTGTCGAACTTTGAATGTAATTATTGAGTTGAATATTTACTTATTAGAAAATCTTTCTATGAGCACTTCGAAACACGTCTATACGCGGCGAAGACTGAGTAAAATATGTGAGCTTATATAGCATGTAATATATAGCATGTAAAAAGTAATAATTGTAATAATTGTAATAAAATAATTGTTTTTTAGCATAACTATTTGTTTTAAAAATATTGAAACGTCTGCAAAAACAAAACTAATAGTACGTTTCCACTACGTATTTAGTAATAGCACGTTTCCACTACGTACTTAGTAAGCTTCATTTACTGAGTAATAGGCCATTTCCACTACGTACTTAGCAAGCTTATCGTACTGAGTAAATTTCATTTACCATACAAATAGCTTCTGTGCTTTTTTACTTACTATAGCATATAATAAGCAAAATTCGACCAAAATTATACCAAAAATGACGAATGCAACATTGGAAATTATCGGAATTTGAAACATTTGACACATGAAACAAACCATAAACAAACACTCAAAATTCAAAACTAATAACAACAGGTAAGAATTTTTTTAAATATTTGTTTATTATAAATAAAATATATTCTTAATACATAAAAATATAAAAATAAGTTTATTTATCAAGTATATATTTGATATAATTATAAAATATCATATAATATTTAACAAAAAATATTTATTTCAGGTTATAACAATGAGTGAGAATTCCCAGGTTAGTATTGTGCAGTTATAAATGGTATGTAATTAAAACAGAATTATTAATTTTAGGTAAAAACAAATAAAAGGTGCCGAAATGCTTGGACTGAGGGCGGCGAAAACCTTCTAATTGAACTTTGGGAGGAAAATCTTTCTCAATTGCGGGGCCCCCGACGAAATGGCCACATATTTAAGGATATGGCCAAACATATGTCTGAAATGGGGTACAAGGTAACCGCTACCGAAGTCCAAAGAAAAGTACACAACTTTACCCAACGCTTTAGGTGCGTGTTAAGTTGAAATTTCTGTTTTTTATATCATTGTAATTAAAATAAAACTACGAAATCGTTTATGAGGAAGTAATATAAAATGCTTTATTGAATAGTTGATTTCGTCAAATATATTTTTAATAATGTATAATATATGTCATTAAATATAAAGCTAATTAGTTACATCTTTTCTGTTAAAACAGAAAGGAACAGCACTGTGTTGGCGTGTCCGGAGGGTCCCCATCAAATTGGAAATTTTTTATGAAAATAAATAGAATTTTGGGAAACTTGCCACTTCATAATATAACTGAGCTTGTTTCAAATAGTTTTGCAGGTATGTTTGTATATATTTTTTTTTAATTCATTGAATGAAGTAACTTCTTTTAAATTAGATCACGAACCAGGACCATCCACTTCAACGTGTGTACCGTCGCCGTTATTGGCAGTATCGTCATCATCAACCATCTCCCCTTCTGACATCTCTGTAGGCAATACGGAGGAAACGCCTAAAAGAAAAAAAAAAGGGATGATGAAATGATGGGAGAAAGATTAGACAAATTAATGAATCTGCAATTAAAGCTTATTGATGCTGTCAATAAAAATAATAACGAAATTGTTAAAGCTCTGCAGACCGGTTCTAATGCTTTGGAAAGAATAGCGGCGGCGATGTAGAGAAGATATCCATACGAAAGGGTCGTATCGGATATTGAATCGATTGACTGACCATTTGTATATATTCGTACATCATATTGTTTTGTATATATTCGTTACATCATATTGTTTTGTATATATTCGTACATCATATTGTTTTGTATATTATTTTGTATATATTCGTTACATCATATTATTTTGTATATATTCGTACATCACATTGTTTTGTATATAATTTTGTATATATTCGTTACATCATATTGGTTTGTATATAATTTTGTATATATTTGTAATATATTAATATTATTATTGATTAAATAAAACTTACTAAAAATATGAGCCAAGCATCGTCTTATTTCTTCGCCATTTGGGTCGTGGTCATTTAGTGTTGAGACTTCTTCTGGTTGTTGTCGTTCAGAAATCTGCTGTTGTCTTGTTAGAGCGTGCATCCAGTCTTTGTTGAATGCATCATTTTTTTCATTTAGAAAGTTATGCAGAACACAACACGTTCGTATAATGCTGGTTGCATTTTCTATCTTGTTATCTATACCCTTACCTACTCTGCGAAACCTTGCTTTAAGGTGCCCAAAAGCATTTTCAACTACCCTTCGACATTTAGCTAATTGGTAGTTGAAACTTTTTTCAGCAATGTTAGCATTTTCATTGTAAGGGTATGGTTTCATTACTTTTGTAGAAAACCTAAACGCCGAATCTCCAAGGATTAGAACTGGTACTTTCACACCATTGATCACCTTACTGTTCTCTTCTAGCGCACTACAATTATCCAACTGACGCTTCAGTGAAGAGTTTTCATAAATATAGGAGTCATTCATTCGTCCAGGATAACCGCAACTGACGTAAAGGAAACGGTATCTGTAACCATGTATGCATGTTTAAATGTTTATTTAATTTTGTTTATTTTATACATAAAATTAATATAATACTTGCCTAAAATCGACCAGAGCAAACAGAACGGTTGAATACCACCCTTTGTAGTTGTAGTAGTCAATAGCATTTTTTGACTGTGGTTTTACTTCAATGTGACACCCATCTTAAATGTTGACTATAATTAATCTGTGTCACTAATAGTAAATTAAGAACTTACCCATTGCACCCAAGCATTGTGGAAAACCCAAGACTTCGAATCCGTTAATACACTCTTTAACCTTTTCGCTGTTTAATGGCAAAGCATTCATATATAAAGGCAAAAGAGTTTTCCACACTTCTGCACAAAATTCTTTCAAACACTTACAAACTGTGGCCTTTCCAACGTCAAACATATTTGCAATGCTTCTGAATTCAGCTGATGAGCCAAGACAGTAAAGTGCAATTGCAATTCGTTTTCTCAAACAAATTGCATACCTAAAGCTGGTGTCTTGCTTTTGCAGATTTTTCAAAAGATGGCATAGCTCATTGAAAGATTCAATGCTCATGCGAAAATTTTCTTTAAAGAACTCAGGGCCATTTTTTTGGCAATCTTCTTCCCAAAACTTCTTCGCTCTTTTCTAAAATACCAACTCATTTAAATTTTCGTCTTTATAATAATATTTACTGCCCGTACTTACCAAAGTCCAGCACTTCCTTTGCTTTCTAGCAATCATTGAAGAAAGCATTCTTATTTGTTGATTTTGAATATTTTGAATTTGTTTATAAATCATTGCATTTGTTTTTGTATATGCACCAACTGTCGCGTTTATATTGTGAACAATATCACAAACATTATATAATAAATTATTTAAATTTTCTGCGATTTCCATGCTGACTTATTTTTTTCTAACAATACAAAATTTAATGTCATCTGCTTACAATTAAAATGTAAACAAACAAAAGCTCTAAAACTAGAACTTTTTGACACATAAAAGCTCTTTCTCATTTCTTAAGTAACTTCTTGACACATAAAAGCTCTTTTCCATAATGTAAACGACCAAAAGCTCAATGTTACTATATGGCTTGCTAAGTACGTAGTGGAAATGTAGTATAATACTCAAAATGTATGAACACGTACTAACTTTTCTATTAGATGCTAATACTATGTTTACATTACGAACTTTAGTGAACGAACTTTGCTAAAGTTGATTCAGCGTTTACATTATCGTTTCGGGTTTTCATTTGGACAGTTGATGTTTTTGTTATCTTTTATTCACATTTTGATACTTGTGAATATTGTGTTTGTTTACTATATATTTTGATAGAAATTACGTATCAAAATATAATTACATAGTTCTGCAGTGAATCTGCACAACAAAATAAAATTCTCAATAATAGATTAAATTATATACGAATTAAGCGCCGTAAAAGAATTGCCAAAATAAATATAGAACACCAAGAAGCGTTTGGATGCACGTAAGAGTTTATGAAATATTTTTTATAAATATGTTATAACTATCTAATATTTTTACAAGAAAGATACGGCAAGTTTGGGAAGTTGATGTTCCCAGTAACAGTGCAAATTTTTTCAAAGAAAGCTTTCGAATAAATCACCAATTGTTCGATATTATATGCAACAAAGTTGGAGGTATTGGGCGAAGTACTACCAGCTTCAGACAGTGCATATCACTGGAGAAGCGGGTCGCGATTGCACTGTGTGCCTTGCGTTCGTCTGCTGAGTACAGCACAATCGGAAGGCTGTTTGGTGTATCTAAAGCAAGCGTGTACGTCATTCTAAAAGAGTTTTGTTCTAAGGTATGAAGAGTTATGGCTCCGCAGTTTTTAGGCTCTGATTTCCTAACTGAAGAAAAAATTGAGGAATGTGTGCAGGGTTTTAACAAAATAGGTTTTCCTCAACGCTTTTAGCTTTGATGGATTACAGGTAAAATTTAATAACATATATTTAAAGATATATTATATTATTGTTATATACATATGTTTTTTTTCAGATATAAATTTTTGTACATAAACGTGTCATCGCTAAAAAATTCTTAGAAAGCTCCACTTCTGAAAATCAAATCTAAATATATTAGTGGCATAAACGTTCCTGTTACGTGCATTGCAGATACTGCGTTTAGGTTGTCGACGTCAGTTATGAAGCCGTATCCATTTTCATCCACCAATGATGAATATAAAAAAACATTTCACTACCAAGTATCAAAAGCAAGGCGAGTGGTCGAAAATGCGTTCGGGCATTTAAAAGCAAGTTTCAGGCGATTAGGGAAAGGTTTAGAAAACAACATCAAAAACGCAGCGTTAATAATAAAATGTTGTTGTGTGCTGCATAACTTTCTTAATGAACATAATGATTTCATTAATTCCAAGTGGCAACATGTTCAAAAGGAATATGAGAAGAAAAACTACAGATTACAACCACATCACGAAGACCTTTCCAATGACAAAAACCCGCAAGCAGAGGAAATAAGAAAAGCAATAGCTGATTATTTTGGTAATTTTTATTTTTTTATTTTGCATTTTTTTACATTTATAACTACTTTTTTTTTTTTAATTTATAACTACAACTATTTATAAAATAATTATATATTATTTACATTTTTTTTATATATATAACTACAACCATTTATAAAATATTTACATATTATTTACATTTTTTTGTACTTCTTCATTATATCAACTTTTTCTGTTTCTGAAAGGAAACTCTTTCTCCTTGTTCGATTTGAGCATTTGTTTTTCGATTTTATTGCATTCATGCAATTGCTCCATTTAACGTAAAATTTTTCTTCTTCTTTTTTCTAGAAGTTTCTTCACACGCATCTTCAGATGGTTGTTTGGACGATGATGAAACGTGGATGGAAATCGATCCACTATCGATTGGAGATGATGCACAAAGTTTTTCATCCGAATTAACCATGAATATAATGCAACAGACAAAATAGTTTGATTTATAAAACATTTTGTTAAAACGCACTTGTAAATACTGTAACATATACTTTTAAATTAAATTATTATTATTATTTAATTTATATAACATTTTGTTAATACGTACTTGTAAGTACTGTAACATATGTACTGTAAATACCATTAAAAATTATTGAAACATAACGAAAGAAATAAAATAATTATGCACTGCAACATACAATTTAGTTTCTTTTATATTGTAAATATTATTGAAACATGTTTGTTGAACATGTTTTTCAATGTTGAATCGTTTGAGTCCACCAAGCATTTCGTCATCGAAATATCTCCAGTTTGATGGTGCTCCGCCTGAATCTCCTATTTTTTTTCTCATCTCTAAAAAGTAATATATGAAATTAATAATTAATTTATTTAGTCCAAATTTAAACTTGCTTATATTTATTTGTGAGATTTTTAATTTTATACCGCACCTCCTCCTCGCATATATATGCGAGTTTCTCTCTAGCCATTGGAGTTTGAAAATATTATTCCGCCACAACTCCAATAGGACGCATTCCTCTTCCATCGTCCACGGAGAATGGAGCTGTTTGTTATTGCTCCTGTAAATTGAATTAGATTAAATATACATATATATATATATATATATTAACCTACATCAGAAACGCACAACTGTGCACCTTAAAATTTTAACAACGTGTGGTCACCTAACATATGTGTGACAGCGAATGTCAAAAGCGAGTGAACGACAGGAACGGAAGTTCGTTGAATAGCGTCAGTTGGATAGCGTCGTGATTAAATATTTTGTTCAGTTAAATAAAGTATATTAAAGTTATGTTATTAAATATTTTGTTCAGTTAAATAAAGTATATTAAAGTTATGTTAGTAAATATTTTGTTCAGTTAAATAAAGTAAATTAAAGTTATTTAAATAAAGTCTATTAAAGTTATGTACTTAACTCAAAAACCAAATTTAAAGTTCAGAAGTGGGATTGAATCAATGCCCTAAAGGGGAGTAATTAAAACGTAAGTTTGAATATTTGGCGCAGAAAAATAAAAAAAAAACGAACGCAGATATATACGTAATGATGGTGACCATCGAGTCACTGACGAAGGAACAGTTGAAGGACTTCTTACAACAGCAAGAGTTATCAACTACAGGCAATAAGGCGGAATTAGTTACACGATTAACTGAACACGTGAAGTCAAGCGGCGTAGTTTTGCAATTTACAAATGATAATGAGGAATTGCGGGGTGAAAACGAAGAATTGAGAATACAAATTAGCGAACTGCGGCAAATGGTTCAACAAGTAGCCATTAACCAGAATAACGTCAGAAACAATCAAAACAGTACTTCAGAAATGCCTAGTAAGGACCGTAACGCGCATTCTATACGAGAAATCGCAGAAGTCTTGCTCGAATTCAACCCAACGTATGAAGATTCTATTACGGCTACGCAATTTGTCGAACGTGTTGAAGCTGTTATATCTGTATATGCGTGGCCCGAAAAAGTGTGCTTCTTGCAGTGTATAGCCGTTTGAAGGCTGTGGCGCGCATGTGGGTGGACGCATCACCAAGAATGCATGCTACTTGGAAGGAGTTCTCAAATGAGCTTGTCACCGAGTTCGGTTGCGAATACGATGAAGCGGATATACATTACAATATGTCGCGCGTTGCTCGAAGGCAAAACGAAACAATAACTGAGTTCATTTTTCGTGTCTGTGCGCTAGGACGACGTCATAATCTTAGTGAGATGGCTATCACGAAATACGCCCGAGAAGGATTAAAACATCGAGAACTACAAATGGCGATTGCTTCGCAAAAATTCGTATCTGTTAAAGAAATGCGTGAATCATGCGAGAACTTTTTACAAAATTGCATTAAGATAAACGAAAAGCCTTTTCATAATGCGGGTGAAAGCGAACAAAGAATATAATCGTTCAGTAAGGCAAAGAATGTTATGTGTTACAATTGTGGTGAGTCAGGGCACTTGTCAGTAAATTGTGCAAGACCCCCAAAACGTCCTCATTGCATAGATTGTAATAAGGTGCACCCCAAAAATGAACAGCAAAATTGCGAAAAACCATCAGCTTTCGTGCGAAAAACAAGTATTATCGACAATAAATTTCTTAAGAAAATAACGATTGGTGGCAAGCAAGCGATTGCATTTATTGATACTGGAAGCGAATGTAATATGGTTCGGGAAACATTTGCCAACGATATTGGTGGTACGCGCAGCAAAAACCTATTTACCATCGGTGGATTCGGTGGTGGTATAGAACGGTCTGAGATACAAATCGACACGGATTTGAAAATCGATGAGGTTGAAAAACCGTTGACGTTTCACGTCTCCAAAGATCGTGTGTTGAATTACGATCTATTGCTCGGGGACGAAATATTCAATAGCGAAAATATACGGCGCATATGACAACGGACAGCTTAAATTCGAAGACAAAGTAAAAACGACGTGTAAAATTAATAAACTTAGTCCAATAACGGAAGATGACGTGTGTATGGACACTGTAAATTCAGATTCTAAGGGAAAGCTGTTAGAGGTAATGGATGAGTTCCGAGAATGTTTCGCTACAGGTATGGATGGAATCGGTAAAACTAGTGTAGTCGAAATTAAAATTGAAATAATGACCAACGAGGTGATCGCACAAGTCCCGTATAGAGTTCCGGAACCGAAAAAAGAAATCGTTGCGAAGAAAATTCAAGAGTAGCTCGACAATGATATTATAGCTCCGTCTGAATCAAGTTATGCGAGTCCAATGTTGCTTGTGAAGAAAAAGAATGGCGAACATCGACTTTGCGTGGACTACTGTCGGATTAATCAATTCACTCGAAAAGAATGAAAGAATATCGAAGAAAGTTTACAAGAAGCAACGAATTATTGAATCTACATATCGTTAGATCTTAACTGTGGTTATTATCAAATTCCTATAGAACGTAATAGTCGTAAATATACTGCAGTTGTGGTTCCTGATGATCTGTATGAGTTTAAACGGATGCCGTTCGGGCTGAAGAACGCACCAGTCCTGTTTCTACAATTGATGGCGAAAATTAAAACGCGCTTGGAACCCAGCGATATGATTCACTACATGGATGATATGCTTGTCGGCGGCAACGATGAAGAAGAACTTCTCGGAAAGTTTCAACGAATTTTCGGTGTAATAAAAGAATTTAATTTAACATTGAATTTAAAAAAATGCAAATTTCTGAAAGATACTATCCAATTCTTGGGACATCAGTTGGGACCCAACGGGATAACGCCGGGTGAAATCAAGACCGAAGCCATACGAAATTTCAACAAGCCTACAACGCAGCGCTTGTTGTAGGCGCTATTTAGGGTTAACGGGATATTTCCGTAAGTTTATACCAGGCTACGCAATTATATCCGAACCGTTGCGACAATTACTTAAGAAAAACGCCGTCTTTAAATGGACAGATCAGCAAACAAACGCCCTTGTGAGTCTAAATGAAGCACTAACAACCGGACCAGTATTAATGGGCTACCGAGTGGAAACTGACCATCAAGTGCATACAGACGCGAGTGCCATCGGACTCGCAGGTGTTTTACTCCAAAATGACAACGGAGATTGGAAGGCGGCGGCGTACTTTAGTCGATCTACCACGCCGCTGGAAAGAAAATATCACAGTTACGAACTAGAAACGCTTGTAGTTGTCGAATCCGAGGACCGCTTTAAATATTACATCTATGGAAAGTCGTTTACGGTCATTACCGATTGCAATGCTGTAAAATTGGCCATGCAAAAGCGAGAAATGATACCTCGTAAAGCCAGATGGTGGCTTCGTATCCAAGACTATGACCTCATCATCGAACATCGAAGCGAGCAACGAATGGCGCACGTCAACGCACTAAGTCGTATGCCTAAAGAAGACGGTTGCGATCTTGAGGAAGCGACTTTGCGAGTCTGGAAGGCGGAAATAACTGAGGCAGATTGGCTTTATAGTATGCAATTACAAGATAGCAAACTTCAACAAGTCGTAATGAAAATTAAGGAGAAGGATTCAGACATTATTAACGACTATAAAATAATTAACGGACGACTGTACAAACGGTATAAAAACCAACAGCTTTTCGTAATACCAAAGGCTGGAAGGTGACACATGATGCACATGTTAAAACAGGACACTTAAGCGTTGACCGAACGATTGAATACTTACTACGGTCTATGTGGTTCGCTCGAATGCGAAACTTTGTCAAATCTTTTGTAAAAGCGTGCATTGATTGCGCCTTCACTAAGCGTCGAGGAGGTAAAAAGGAAGGTGAGTTACATTGCGACAAAATGGAGCCTATTCCGTTCAAAACAATGCACATTGACCACCTGGGACCTTTTCCCCGAAGCCGAAAGTTAAACGAGTATATCCTGGTTATTGTGGACAGTTTCACAAAATTTGTCATCGTCAGACCAGTGAAAAGTACGAACACTAAACAAGTCATCGCCATTCTGAATGAAGTTACCAGTTACGTTGGAACCCCTGAACCCCTAATAACCCCTAATAAGTGATCGTGGTACCGCCTTTACGTCAAAAGAATTTGAAAGATACTGTAACGAACAACAAATCAAACACATACGCAACTTAGTCCGTACACCACAAGCCAATGGCCAAGTCGAACGATTTAATTGCACCGTTTTATCCATGCTGCAGCCATCAACACAAGATGACTGAACCTGGGACGAGCAACTACGAAGCATTCAATGTACATTGAACTCACTGATTAGCCAAACGACGGGAAAATCTCCAAACGAATTGCTTTTTGGATTCAAGCCACGCTACATATTAGGTAACAAGCTGATCCAAATTCTCCAAGATGAAGACGATACTATTCCCATCACCCAAGAAGAACTCCACCGCCGACGATTACTTGCTGCTAATAACACCGATAGTAAACGGGTAAACGCGAAAAAGGGTTTCGATGATAAACACGGGAAACCAACGAAATATGAGCAAGGTGATTTAGTTCTAGCTGAACGAGAACCAGCATCCACAGGCACGTCCCGTAAACTTGAATGTCGATAT